TACTTTGAGGGCATGTGTTATCCTGTTTTGCAATTTTAGGGGAGGAGAGAGTGTGTAAGGCAAATTTATTGAAGGTAAGCAGTAAGTAATATTTGTATGAAGGTCCCATATTTCGGCTCTGTTCATTTTGAGACTTGTTGATACCCAATTTGGTTCCGATTAATTAAATAATAAATTAAGTAATAAAGTACGGCCTAATAATCAAGGAGCCGGAAATACATAATAAATAAATATAACAAACAGGTACCCAAGACCGATCATCTAAAAGCCGACCGGGTTCTTAGATGTTGAGTTTGCCCGCTATCGAGCTGAATAGGATTTGAAGTCGCCTTCGGTAGATGCCATAATTCCCGAGGAGACAGACACCAGTCGGAACTGTCAAGGGTCACAAACGGGTCTCATGATAATTATCTTATATTAAATAATGGTGTATTATTTTTTGATGGTCCTACTTGTAAAAAAAGGGCCATATATATATAAATGGCCTTAACAAAAAAAGGGGCTGCTCCTCTTTTTTTTTTCTTCTTCCCCACAAGGCAAAAGAGAGAGAGAGTTACACTCTTCAAATAACACAAGAAACACCATTTTTAATCTATTTTGTTCTTCATTTTCATACAACAATTCGATTTATATTTAACAGTTGATCGTCCGATTTTCGACATCAACAAGACTACACAGGCATGTAACACACAATATATATGGTGCTTCCAATTCGGCTTGAGACTGAAAGTTTTCACAATATATATCATGTTTTCATAATTTATTTTTCTATTTAAATTCAATTATGTTAATTCTTGGTAGTTATTTAACATTTGAATAATGTAAGTGTCATAAATGTGAATACTGTATATGTGAGCTTTCTTTATCAACACAGTTTCTCTTATTTGAAAACTAGGTTTACCTTGGCTGTGAACAGCACAATCGGGCTCAACTTGTCTTTAGTAAGGCATCCACATTCCTTAACATTCATTCAATTACAATTTACACTCTCTCTCATCCACACTATCTCCACGTCATCTTTCCACTAAACATCTCTTCATTTAAACACACACTCACATTCATTCATTCATTTAAATACAAACATATGGGACCCATTACCCACTAATTCAATACTATTTTTATATTTTATTCTTAACAAAAATAAAAGTATTTTTTTAATTAGAATACTAAATTTTAGATGCTGAAAATAAACTAAATATTATTAGATTAAGAAAATATAAATCATATAAATTATTGATATATTTTGTAAAATGTAATTTGGATAATAATTGAATTAAATATAAAAAACAAAAAAAAAAATGAATGATTTGATAAATAAAATATGGTTGGAAAAAAAAAAAAGAAAGGAAGAAAACTAATGCATGCATCGTTAGCGTAGATATATTATGTGACGTTTGAATTTTTAATGTACATAATAGTTGAGTTTAAACTTAAGCTATGTTTGGTAAAATTATCTGACAACTGATAAGTTAGTTTATAGATTATAATTGATTTTCGAGCTTATAGCTTATTATGATTTATATCTGAAAATTTAGCTTATATGTTAAAAGTGTTTGGTAAAATTAGCTGATAAGTTAATTGAAATAAAAATTTCAATGAGAAAAGCTACTCGAAGAAGCTTATGAGATAAACTCGAGTTTTTTAAAAAACTCATCCCACCAAACGAAGTTTGTTTGAATATAGAAAGTTTATAAACTAACAAAATAATCTATAAGCTAGCTTATTTAGTTACTAAATATAGTCCACTTATCCATAAGCTATAAGCTATCTAATCACTATTTTTTTTTCCAATTTATCAACAAATTTAATCTTAGCAAATGGCGATAAAAATATCATATATATATAATCAAGAAATAGCATATAAGAATATTTAATTTACATTTAGAAAATTTTGTGATGATTTTTTAAAATGATAAATAGATCCTACCGTTTTTCTTTCTTTGGTATCTTTTTGAGGAAGAATTAAAGTTTAAATTGTTGTTGAACATTGTTTGCTTAAAATTTAGTAATGTAATAATAGATAGTAAATTAGATTATAATTTAATCTAGTATTGTGAAGCCTATGATGCACATGATTAATGCTTTGCAAGGAAAAAGAAGCAAAAAATAAAAATGAAAATGACCAGACAGAATGCCACTAGGGGTGCAAATGAGTCGTGTCGAGCTCGACTAGCCTCGTTAACTTAACAAGCTGATGGTCGAGCTCGAGCTGACTCAAGCTTGACTCGTTAATTTGAACGAGCTTTAAATGAGATCGAGTTTGGCTCGTTTATTAGATAAGTCGAGCCAAGTTCGAGCCTTAACAAGCTGAGCCGACAATTTACCACCATAATAAAATTCATAAGCACATCTAGCGATTTACCACCATAATAAAATTCATAAGCACATCTAGCGAGATACTTAATGAGTTCTAAGGTTTCAGCAAAGAAGATCATCAAAAGACAAGCACAAAGTCGAGTTACACATATATGGCTTTGTTGCATCTTGTGAACTTCTGGCTTGCATATTAATTACATTAGGGATAATAACTATTAATTACATTAGGGAATTTCTGGCTTGCATATTAATTCAGGTGTACACTTATCTTTCTTGTCTATGTAGATGATATTTTGATTACAAGAAGTTCTTAAATTGAGGTTAACAATGTGATAAAAATATCTTTCCAAGTTCTTCTCTCTAAATGATCTTGGTTCAATACATCACTTCCTTGGTATTGAAGATACAAAAACTCCCTTAGGATTACATTTGAACCAACGTAATTATATCAAAGAACTTCTTAACAGAGCAAACACGGTAGGTGCTAAAGGAACAACAACTCCTATGGCCTCTTCACTTCAGTTGTCTAAGCATAAGGAAAATCCTATTGCTGAGAGTACTCTTTAGCGAAGCATTATTGGATGTCTTCATTATGTGACTATTATAAGGCAAGAAATTACCTTCAGTGTGAATAAGGTAAGCCAATTCATGTAAGCTCCTTTAGATGATCATTGGAAAGCTGTCAAAAGGATACTGAGATACCTGAGTGGAACTTTGGTTTATGGTTTAGAAATCAACAAGTTAGATCACCTTAACATCATTGGTTCCTCTGATTCCGACTGGGCTAGTGACTTGGATTATATGAAGTCAACTACAGGTTTTGTGTGTTCTTGGGAAGTAACCTTATGTCATGAAAGTCTAAGAAAAAAGTAGTGTTTCAAGGTCCTCTACTAAATCAGAATACATAAGTCTTGCTCGTGTTTCAACACAAATCATGTGGCTACAGTCATCGATGAGAGAATTGTCCATATCATTGAAGAAACCGATTTGTGTTTGGGTTGATAACATGAGCCCAATTGCGTTAGCCTCAAATCTTGTGCAACATGCTAGAACAAAACATATCGATACTGACATACATTTTTTTAGACAACTAATAGCTTGTGGAACTTTATAAGTTCTACATGTCCCTTCTATTGATCAAGTTGCTGATATCTTCACTAAACCCTTGGGTTTGCAATTCTTCATTAGGTTAAGAAGTAAGCTGAACATACTTCAAAAACATGAGTTCCAATTGAGGGGGAATGTTGGAAATCACCTCTATATGCTACATTCAATTCAACTATATACTAGAATAACAATCAAGAGATCACAAGCATTGAAGCCAACGCAATCACAACCATTGATCAAGCTAATGAATGCATCCATGCCAAAAAGGACACGTGCCCATTGTACTGGATTCTTAATTGTATCACTGGATCAAGACAAGAAGAGGAGTAAGCTCATAGCCATTGAATCAACACTTGAAGTGTGCATGAAGACAAAGCTACCAGCTGTATGGGAAAGAGTCGTTGGCTAGGTTACACTCTTATTTGTTGATCCCTAGGAATATTCCTTATTGATAAGGATTGATTCGGGATATCATAGTATATATATATAAATATAGAAGTATGCTCGAATGAGAAAGGAACACAAGGAAAGAAATGAGAATTATTTTAGGCCGTTGGATGTGCTGTTTGAACGTTCAGGATTTGAACAAATAAATGAAGTTTCGCGTTGGCGTTTTAGTAATTATGATGAACTGCAAGGAGAAATTTCAATGGGCTAAGGGCACATGCGTCCTTTCTCAGGCAAGTTAGGGTAATTGAATTGAATGATTATAATATCCAAACACAATTACTGTGCATTGAAAGCTGCGACTGTCCATTGAGCTGCGGAGCCCGTTGGGATATGGCATATCTATTTTACGAAAAAAAAAAATCGAAAAAATTTTCTCTAGTGAGGAATGTGTTAGACGTCCCTGATTTTGTTATTTTTAGTTAATTTTTCTGATATTCGCGTGTTGTTGAAGATCTAATTCAGAGATCCGTTCACTTCTGCTTAATTTGAAGTAAAATCGCAACGGGAAACTCTCCTAAATCGAAGAAATTAGGTAATACGACGTGCTTTTTTTGATTATCTAAAAGCGTGTTTTCTACGTATACAAATTCAATTGTAAAATTTGCAGACATCTTAGATTAGTGTTGTGACATGATTTAAGTAGTGTTTTATTTGTCATGGAATCTTATTTATGCGATAATGTTTTTGTGCAGTTGTAATGGCACTTGTACTCTGTATGTNTATTTATTAGGTGTTTGAATATTGCTTGTTCATCCTCAGTTGTCTATATAATGCATGTCAGGGGAGCATCATGCATTCATTTCATGTCCTGTTTTTCTTGTTCATGTTCTGTTTATGTTGCTGTCCTTATACAGACAAATGTGATAACGAGCTTAGCGTACCCGGTAGACCTCACATTGCTTGGAAATTTATATGTTGGTGTTAAATTACTATTGTCTTTGTGATAGTTTGCATATAAGTAAGTCATGGCTTTGATTTTTTTGTATTTTTCCAAGCATCCCGACGTCGTACGAGCTCGCCTCATCTCAACAGGCTGCTGTGCCTGATAAGAGTGACCATGCTCAGGAAGGTGAATATGCTAGCGTTTCGAATTTACGTGTTTGGTATCATTTGTTTTCTTGTTATAGTAAATATGTTTTGTATAGGCCCCTTTTTTTCCAATATATGGATGCTTTTTTTGACATTAATGTTGTTCAATTTTGATGAATATGTAGTTACTGTACTGATTGACAAATCCGTGTTTAATCTGAACTTATTATTTCTTTGTTGACATTCAGATGTGCCGCGTAAGAGGGCTGTTGTTGCATCAGATTGAGAGGTTGGCAATGCAAAACGTTCAAAGTCCACTGCATGTAAAGTGAGCCAGCCTGATAGTGATTTCGTGGATGAGAACACTCGTCCGCGTGTGGCTGCCAATAAAAACCCCCAACATGGTATTTGAAACCAAATATCTGTTTAGATGCTTATATATGTGTGTGTTTATAGTTTCGCGTGTGCATTTGTTGTGTGATGTTCTTATGTATACCTGCTATATATATATATATATATAATTTTTTTTTTTTTTCAGATAAAGGCAAGCAAAAAGTTGATGATACCGACAATGCTCTTGTTATTGGTGTTGATTCTGATGGCGATGATGACAATCTGTTCCCGAGTCTAGTTACGAGGTCATCTTTGACTATTTTTGTTAAGGCTGTATCTGGTCTGCCAGACGTCCAGAAGCAAGCGGTTCGCGAGATGGGTCTCGGGCGTTTGTTGGATCTGACTATAACCGTGATACCATTGAAAATGGGCTTTTGGCTAGTCAACAACTTTAATCACATGGATCGGAAGTTGCGTTTACACGACGCCGAAAAGGTGCATGTAAGGGAAGAGGACGTTCATGCAGCATTAGGCTTGTCTCGTGGCGATATTGAGATTAGCAATAGGAAGAAGAAAGTTTCATCAGATCTGATCGACCAGTGGGTTGCATTATTCAGTGTTAGAATTCCATCGAACATTATAGCGTCAAAGGTATTTGATAAGATTCGTGAGTGTACAAACGGTGACGACTGGTTCAAGCGTCATTTCATCGTCCTTATGGTTACCTGTCTCTTTGAGAGCTCTTCAAACGCAATGGCGAACTTCCGTCTACTCCACATGCTCGACGATCTAACAAACGTTCGCAAGATGAAATGGTGTTCATATATGATCCGTTGTCTCGTGGACACAAAGAGAACATGGGACGCTATTGGTGGTAAACAAAAGAAATATACCGGGCCATTTTTTTTCTTGACGGCCAGTTGTTCCGTGCACTTCAATTTGATTATCTTTTTTTTTTCTTTTTGTTGTTTTTTTATATGTGTCGCTGCTATTTACTTGTGTCGTTTAGTTCATATTATAGTTTTTTGTTGTTTTCTAATTGTCGGCTGTTCGTTGCAGCTATTTTATGTGGACAAGGTTGTCTTGTCGATAAGATTCGTTACAAGATCTTTTCCAACAGTTGTGTTATGGAGCAATGAGTTACTAAAGAACAGGGAGCGGGATGAGATTACGTCAGGAGCTTTCGGAAGGGGGTTTATCGATCCTGACACTAACACGCACGTGGCAGATGACTATCACCAGTTGGATGGGGCTGTCGATGCTACTACCAATGACACTGTTCGGAGCACGATGGAACACACTGTACTTGTATGCAACTTTTTTTTTTCTTTTATGTGCGGTTAAATTAGTGTTTTAATGTTTACTGATTGTTTTTTCTCGGGTTATTTCTTTTGATATAACTTGGATAGTAGACGTTTGTATACCGTATTATATTGTGCTTTTCGTTATGTGGAAGTGTGCATCAATGTGGGTAATCTTGTGCACGATGAATACTGTGTCATATATGCCTGTTTTGATGATTGTATTTATTTGTTTACATTTGCAATGTGTTTTTGTTTTTGTTTTTGTTTTTTGTTTTGTCTAGTTTTTTTATTTTTATTTTTTATTTTTTATTTTTTAATTTTCTCTTTTGTAAACAGGCGTATGTTCAAAATTTCGCATCTAAAACTCGGCTTATTGCTTCAATCGGAGATGAAATCCTACAATTGGTTGAGCAAGCACCACAAGTTCTAGTTGGAGACGAAAACTTTTTGAAAATGCAAGATGCTGCACAAAAGCTTCTGGGCGTGTATACCGGTGTGTCCAATGGGAACTTCAGCCAGCCCAATGTGAGTCAGAAGAATGGTGCGGTCCCCGCACACGATGTAGATAATGATATTGGAAAGGTTCATGTATCTCAGCTAGCAGACGATACGTTTTGGAATGACCCCGAAACATTGGCAGCGATAGATTCAATCGAGAAGGCGGTTGAGTGGCGTAACACTCTTAACGAACGTCTCAAGAGAATGCAACGCGATGGTCCCAGTTTTAGCTTGGGTATCAGTATCTCATCGGATGATGATGATGCAAATCAGGGTCGTCGGCCCACGGGCGGGGCTTCCGCGACTCCCAGCGATATTCCTCAGACAACCGAGAAGTCACCCGAAATTGCCACGCAACTAGGTATTTGCCAAATATACATTATTTATTATTAATGCATTACTGATGTTGGTGTATGTAGAGTTGACCTGAATTTGCAACTTTTTGGTGTTATATTAATACATTTATAATATTGTGCGTGAAGACGGTGTTGGATTGCCCAATCAACCGATCATTGGGGAAGAAAATGAATTGCAGACTAAAGGTGGTGTGTCGATAGGTATACATGTAATGTACACAGTATTTTTTTCTTTTGTTTGGTTGTTT